CACGGAAGCACTTCGAGAGGCCACGTGCGCTCTGTTCTCTGAGCGGGCGCTGCCTTCTCAGAATGAGGCGGGCCGCGAGGACCTGCCCAGCTTTGGCGGTCCCCAGCCCGGCGGGGGACAGAGCGGCCCAGGCCTCCCACCCACACCTGCCTCCTTGGCCTTCCCGGGGACAAGCTCGTCTGCCCCTTATAGTCACTCTTAGGACTCGCTCCGGGCCACGGCGCCTGTCCCTTTATCTTTGCTCTTGGCAGCAGAAGTCCCCTGGCAACCTTCGAACACGGCTAACGCTAGGGATCTTTGATCGCCTCGGGAAAAAGTCTGTTTTGAACTGTCAGTGGGGCTGGATTTTTAGGTCAGATCCCTCCCCGCCGAAGCGCCGCACCCAGCAGCGCGCTCAGGGCTCCCCCTCGCCAGCCCCCCGGCCGGGCGCAGCCACTCCCGGGTCCAAAACCGGCTGTATTTTCATGAAACAAACTGTAAAACCCCCACGCCGGCCCCCCGGCCGGGCGCAGCCACTCCTGGGTCCAAAACTGGCTGTATTTTCATGAAACAAACTGTAAAACCCCCTCGCTAAACTATGAGCGTATTTCATTTGCCTAGAAAATCGCCCGGGGATGGGAAAAATAAAACCTGCGGCTACATTTAGAAAGGAAAATTTGTAAGTTTTATTCAGAAATGCTCCCTAGAAATAAAATCAGTGGGATGTGTCACAGGCCGTTTGTTTTTAAATCAGGACCGGCGCAGAGCGACGGGGACAGGGAACGGTTTGAGAGCTCTGAGGCCATGGTTACATGTCGGGTGGGGACGCGCCAAGAACAGACTGTGCCCTCAGTTCTGGGGCGCTGCCCTGAGCCCCAGAGATGCCGTTCCGCGCCAGGCTTGGCCCGGGCCCTCGCGGTGCGCCCCACGGCAGGAAGGGGAGGCAGGTGACAGATGGGGTCCGGCCGCGTGGGGCCGCCGTGGCTGGCGGAGAGCGCGCTGCGATGCTGGACAGGGCGTCCGTGTTCACGGTGGACGGGGCCTCTCCAGTGACGAGGTGGCATGTTGCTCTTGGCGACGGGCTGTAGGAAGAGGTTTACTGGGTGGTCAGGGCTTGTGGGGTCAGAACCGGATGCTGCTGCCCGGGTCGTCTGCCACTCAGCTGGGGTGGTTGCGTGGCTCTGTGCGGGGCACCTTCTGGGCCCGGGCCTGGGGGAGAGGGATGGGGAAGGCTTCCTAGGGGGGCCCTCAGTGGCTCCCCCACACTGCGGCCTGAGGGATCTCGCTGAAGTGCTCGGTGTCACTTGTTCCTGCGACTCACCTGTAGTGGCTGGACCAAGGAGGTGACCTGCGCTGGGAGCCTACCTGGCTCACAGCCGCGCCCTCCCCACTCCTCCACTTCACCTCGTCTGTGACATTTGTGGCTCCGAACGAGCCAGGAGGTGGGGGGACCACGTACATTCCCTTTTGCTGGTGAGGAAAGAGGGTCCGGCCCCAGGGTTATGGCCAGGCGGCCTCTCCCCGAGCAGGCCGTGAAAACTCTGTCCCAGAGCCAGTGACGCAGCTGCTTGAGGAGCCGCTGCTGGGTGGCATTTGCTGAGAGCTGGTGTCATCAGGGAGGAAGGCATTCCGGAGACTAACGACCCCGGTAGCTCACGCAAGCAGAGGTCAGCGACGGCAGCGCGGAGCTCAGAGCAGTGTTATGGCCAGGAGGCCTCTCCCCGAGCAGGCCGTGAAAACTCTGTCCCAGAGCCAGTGACGCAGCTGCTTGAGGAGCCGCTGCTGGGTGGCATTTGCTGAGAGCTGGTGTCATCAGGGAGGAAGGCATTCCGGAGACTAACGACCCCGGTAGCTCACGCAAGCAGAGGTCAGCGACGGCAGCGCGGAGCTCAGAAGCCCACGCTGACTCTTTGAGACAGAGAGTCGGCATCCTCTAACGTGTTGGTCGTGTTTGTCGTGCCCGATCCAGGCTAACGTTTGTTGCGTGTGTTTCCACACGTGATCTCCGTGATGCGTTACAGTAAACCATCTGTATCCTGTTTCTTGGGCTCCCATAAATAGCCCTTTCGCTGTTCTTCGCCTGTGCCTAAGGGGCCGCGTTCGTTAAGGGGTTCTCCCTGCTGTAACTTAACCTGTACTTTTTTTCAGCTGTTGCTTCTAATTTTCACGACAGTATTATGTACTTATTTTAGCAATACTGAAAAATACAGTTTCAGAAAGAAAAACCATCCATAGCCATAACCCTCGGCACTGTCCTACTGTCAAGATTTTGGGAGTGCTTATTTTTAAAATTATATTATTTCTGGAAAATTATATCTCTTCACTTATATTTTCATGTTACACATTTACAAAGATTTTTGATGGGCGTGTACTATTTTATGTAATCCTTTTGAAATTAAGGTCGCTTCTGATGTGTAGCATCATAAATAAAAATGGGATGCTCTTAAAAAGAATACCACCGTCAGGAATCGCGTTAAGCAAGGAGGTGAAGGGCCCGCACGCTGAAAACTAGGCAGCGCGGCTGAAAGACACCAACCAGGACACACCCGTGTCCGCGGATCGGCGGACTTAGTATTGCTACGACGCCAGCGCTGCCCAGACGGATCCACAGATTCTGTGCAGTCCCTGGCAAAATTCCGTCGGTGTTTTTTTTCTAGAAATAGAAAAATCCAACCCCAGATTCGCATGGAATCTCGAGGAACCCCGATAGCCAAAGCGATTTTGAAAAAGAAGAACAAAGTTGGAGGTCTTACATGTCCTGATTTTAAAAACTTACTGCACGGTTATCGCCATCAAAACAGCATGGTGCTGGCATAGAGACATGCACCGATACAGTCGGATAGAGAGCCCAGCAATAAAGCGTCACAGGTATGGTCAGATGGTTTTCAACAAGGCTGCCGAGACCACTCATGGGGAAAGCGCGGTCTCTTCATGAAATGGTATTGGGAAAACTGGATATCCACATACAGAGGAATGAAATTGGACCCTTACCTTACACCACATACAAAAATTAACTCGGTGGAGCAATGACCTAAGACTATGAACTCTTAGAGGAACACATAGCAGAAAAGCTTCATGACATTGGATTTGCTGCTGATTTCTTGGATACGACCCCAAAAGCACAGCCAACGAAGTAAAAATAGATAAGTTGGACTACATCAAAATTTAAAATTTCTGTGCATCGAAATGACACAACAAAGTGAAAAGGCAACCCAAAGAATGGAAAAAAAAATTTAGAAATTATTTATCTGATAAGGGATTAATATCCAGAATTTATAAGGAATTCCTACAACTCAACAAGAAAACAAATGACCCTGTTAAAAAATGTGTGAAGGACTTGAATAGACTTTTCTCCAAAGAAGATCTACAGATGGCCAATAAGCACACGAAAACATGATCAGCGTTACTAATAATTAGGAAAATGCACATCGAAACCGCAGTGCGATGCCACGTCACACTCGTTAGGTTGGCTACTATCAAAAAAACACAAAAAAAACAATCAGCCGTAAGAAGAGATGAAAGACTGCCATTTGCGACAACGTGGATGGACCTCGAGATCATGCTAAGCAAAATAAGCCAGACAGAAAAAGTTGAAAATCACATGATATCACTTATATGTGGGATATAAACCTAAAAGCAACAAATGAACAGGACAGACAAACAGAGACTCATGGTCATGGACAGCAGACTAGACTAGTGGTTACCTGGGGGGAGGGGGGAGGTAATGGGGTAAAGGGATCAAATATGTGGGGACAGGAAGAACTCTATGAGAGCTGAACACACAGTGTAACTATATATATCTGCCTTACTGTTAAAATGTACAGCTGAAACTTACTAGATTTCATTAACCAATGTCACCATAAAAAAGAATTTTTAATTATAAAAAAAAACACAAAATAATCCTTGGTGAGGATGTAGAAAAATTGGAACCCTTGTGCAACTGCTGGTGTAAAATGATGTTACCGCTGTGGAAAACCGTGTGGCAGTTCCTCAGAAAATGAGAAATAGAATTACCATATGTTCCAGCAATTCCACTTCCCGGGATGTACCCAAAAGAATAGAAAGTAGAGACTTAAATAGATGTTTGCGTATCCGTTACAGCAGCACTGTTTACGTCAGCCAAAAGGTGGAAGCAACCAGTGTCCATCAAGGGACAAATGAAACAAAACGCGGTCCATCCGTGGAGTGGAATATTATTCAGCCTTAAAAAGGGAAGGCGTGCGGACGCATGGATGAACCTGGAGGCCGTTACGCCGAGTGGAGTCATCCAGTTACAGAAGGACAGACACCGTATGACTCCACTTACATGTAACACCTGGAGGAGTCACACTTGTGGCGACAAAGCAGAGCCATGGGGCCGGGGGAGGGGCGGGGACCGAGTGTCTAATGGGGACGGGCTCCTGTTTTGCAAGATGAAGAGCTCTGTGGATGGACGGTGGTGGGCACAACGGTGTGACTGTACTGAACGCCACTGCACTGGACACTTCGAAAGGGTTAAGACGACCAACTTTGTCATGTGTATGTTAGCACAGTGTTTAAAAGTTAAAAAAATGTGATGTTCTCTCATGGGTGCTACATTTCTAGAATGGATTGTCTGAAGTAAAATGACTTAAAGGATCTCAATACATATTACCAAATTATTTTCCAAAAGGATCAGAATAATTTATAGATTCTTTGGCAGAGGTACAGTATGCCTTTACCAGTATTATCATTTTTTAAAAATTATTGCTGATTTGATAGGCAAAGAAATACTTTCTCATACAATTATTAATCAGTTATAGTTCTTTTGTGAACTGAATCACTCAAACATCAAAGGCTCAGTTTTTTTCCAATTAATCATAGTGTATTATTAATTCCTTGTATTTATAGCATTTATATTCCTTTTTTTCAGAGGGAACGTACATAAATTCGTACGTTTTTTAATGTGAACAATATCCCTCAGGGGCTGTGTTTTTAAATATTCTTTTCTAATTTGAGAATCGATACTTCCTTTTTCTTCTAAAAGCTACGGAGATTTAGGGTTTTGATTTTGATTTGTTTTTATTTAACTGTTAACAAACGCGGCTCAAATCTTCATGTGTAGTGAAGACTTAAATTGTCTTTTCCCCACGTGTAAACCAACCAGTTAACCTAATCTTCCCCTTTTCATTGATTGGAGCTTCATTCTTTCTCATTACACTTGTATAAATATTACACTTGTATAAATATACTTTTCGATTTGGGAGCTGTTACTTCTGTCCCGTCAACTCGCCTGGTGAGTCCATGTCCACTGTCGTTACTTCATACATTCTATAGCTGGCAGGACTAGCCTTTCTCACTGGAAGTGTTCTCATTCTTCTTGCTTTTTATTTTTCCAGGTGAACTTTAGGATTATTTTGTCAGGTACCCAGAAAAATAAAGAGACCCGTGTGAATTTTGACGGTAAAGCCATTTGGGGAAGAAATAGCACCAGCATATTTATAGTATTTGTGCTTTCAGTTCAGAAACACACCTTATCTTTACTTGTTCAGGTCTTTTTTTCCTCCGTGTTATTGATTTGTGTGTTTATAGAGTATGTTTCATTGGTGATCTCCAGATCACAGTCTTTGAGTCCTTTAAAGCAGGGGTCCCCAACCCCCGGCCACAGACCGGTCCTGGTCTGTGGCCTGTTAGGAACCGGGCTGCACCACAGGGGGTGAGCGGCAGGCGGGTGAGCAAAGCTTCACCTGTATTTGCAGCCGCTCCCCAGCGCTGGCATCACCACCTCAGCTCTGCCCTAGATCATCACGCATTAGGGTCTCACAGGAGCACCGGTTCCTGGTGCCACAAAGTTGGGGACCACTGCAAAGAACTACTTTATACGCCTAAGACTTTCAAAGAGCATGCAAGAAATCACTAATAAAGGTGGATTCCTTTGATCAGAGACCATTAGGAAAAATACATCAGAGCGTCTTCGCTTTTTCTTTGACTTCTAATCTGTATATTTTATATAATGATTCTAGGATTCTTTCTCCCTTATTTCTGCATTCCGATTCATCAGCACAATTTTAGGACAAGCACGTATCCCCTCTCATCTCAGATGAAACATTAAATGATTTCAGGGCAGGTCTGGCTTTTTAAAGTACAACCCTGCAGTCGGCACGTCCCGAGCCCCCTGCACAGCTCCTTTCTAACTGCACTTACGTCTGAGTTTATCCAGCATTACTCCCTGGGGGAGGAGGTGATGGTGAGTCCTGGAGGACTGAGTCCTAGAGCAGCCGTCCTCCCTGCATCTGAGCATCTGACGAGCCCAAAGGGTCGGAATTGGCATCGCCTGACTCCAAGCACGGGCTGTTTCTGCTAAGCCGTGTCTGCTGTCCAGGTGGCAGACGAGCCAGGCAGGTGTGAGGCCAAGTGTGCTCAGGCGGCGCCCGCTCCCCATTGCTCGTCATAAATAATTCCGTGGCCAGCCATGGGATCCAGCAGCATCCTTCAGCTCTGCGGAAAGAGAGGGGTGTGATTGGGTTTCCATTCGTGTGCTTGTTTCTTCCATGGCTATTGATACAGTGACAACTACATTCTTCCTAATGAAGGGGCATTTAGTTGGCGCCCCTGAACCATCACGGCAATTCATTCCGGCAGCCAAGTGGGAGGTGCCGGCCCACAGGTGTAGCTGCTGACCCCAGCCGTGTGCCAGGTGTTTCTCACTACTAATTACATTTAGGAACCAAAGGGGTTCTGCATTCTTGTTCAGGGTGGGGGGAGTCCGGTGAGAGATTACAAAGAGAAGGCGTGGTTTGGACAGACAGGTGTGCGTGTGAGGAAGTGAGGAACTTCTTCAGTTCTGCCTGCCCAAGAGCTTTTTCTTCGAGCTTATTTGTTTCTATCTGGAGCTCATAATGAGGTGTCGTAGGGAATCAGCCGTCCAGCCCCTCCCATCTCCCACCCTACCCGAACTCCTTGCCGCCCCCAAGGATATTACAATTCAGAAACGATGTCTTTCTTCTTGGAACAGCTTTTTCATTAACCTTTTTAAAGATAGGAAATTAAGATCTGAATAATAGATGTTAATACTAGCTCCTTAAAAATAATTGAAATATATTTTTAATTTCAACAAAGTATCTAAAACAGTATCTAAGAGTAACACGTTAACATCTGTAAGATACAAAAATAAACACTGAATTTTATTTTATGGCTTTTTTTAACTCCTACTTTCTAGAGACTAAATTTAAAGAAGCTTTCGCTTTCCATGTAATCTAAAATTTTTTTTAATTTTTAACTGAATCATTTCGATAAAAAATTAATGTCGAGAAAAAAAACAGTGTTTGAGGGTTACAAGTTTACAACTTGGTAGTAGGAGAGGTTGAACAAGAGTCCGAAGTAATGAATTGGAATTGTGCAATATTTGAGTAGCCATTTGCTTAAAAACAAACAAACAAAAAAAAACCCGGATTGCCACCTTGCTAAATGATAGACGTTAGAGTAATTAGAATAGAAAATAGGAGGTGGTCAGGCAGATAGAAGGTACCGTCGACTTTGACTTTAGGGTACCTGTTAGGGAAACGCTGAAATGGAAAGTTCTCGTGGACACACACACACACATACACACACACACACTTTTTTGGTATCTCCGTTTACAGTCCGGCCGGAGATGTGGCCCCAGTTCTGTCCCTAAGAGATAGGTCTTTGCCTAAAAGTTACAGAGGAACGAAGACTGCAGAAAGCCGGAAAACGCCTCGGCTTTCCATGCACGCTGACAGCCAAACAGAACGCTCTT